TTGTTTATGTATTGATATATTTTTATGTCAGTGCATTTATAATTACCTTCAAGTGGCTTTTATAGCCATTCTTTCTAAATGTTTGAACTTCTTGTCATCTTTTTGTTGTTGTTGTTATTTCTGTTTTTGTTTGTTTTTTTGAGACAGTCTCACTGTGCAGTTCAGGCTGGCCTTGAATTCACTTTGTAGCCCAGGCTGGCCTCAAATTGTCAGCGGTTTTCCTGTCTCAACTTCCCAAGTACTGGGATAGGCTTACCACGACCTCTAGCTCTTTATTATCTTATTTTTAAAAGAAATGGAACTCCCATTTATTGAGCCTTTCATATGTGTGCATTGCCTCAATTACTTTGCATTCTTTTGTTCTCGTTCATGTTTTTTCACTAATTTTCCTAATCTCAATAAGTGGCATTACATGCTATCCATTCAGGTGTCCACATTCTAGACATCAGCAAATCCTGTTGACTGTCCTTCTAAAATAAATCTTTAGTCATCTCATCGATGTCCCTTCCTGTTACCATTCTGACAATCCAGACAAGCCATATGTCTTGTCTGAACAACCAGTCTTCCTTTCTACTTTTGCCCCCTTACAAATCACTCAGCATCAGAATGATCTTTCAGAAACAGAATTAAAAGCCAGACACCATAGTATATATTTCTAATCCCAGCACGCAGGAAACTGAAGCAGTAGAGTTGAAAGTTTGAGGCCACATAGCAAGACCCTTTCTCAAAAACTAAAAAGGAAACTATTGTCCTTGCTTAAAACTCTTTAACGAATTCTCCTGGCATTTAGAATAAAAACCCTTGCTTTGGTTTCAAGGTTGTAGACAATCCAGTCAGAACCTATTATTCCAGGATCTTCTGCAATAATTTGTCCCCATCTACTTAGATTTTGTGTGGTCTGACTGATTTTTTGTTTCATAAACTGTACCAAGCTCCTTCCTGACATAAGCCCTTTGCATTTCCCTCTGTGTTTGTCTGATAAGGTTTGTTTTGGTTTATTTTTCCTAGATGTCAACTGTAGCATCAGCTATGGCCTTTCTTGATTTCCTTGCCTCTTTTATTCCTCTACTCAATTTTTCTCCTCCTTTTTTCCTTACCTTCTCTTTCTCCTCCACTCTGCCTCCCTCCTCTTCCCTACAAAACAAAACAAAACAAAACAGCTTGGGATATAGTTGAGTGCAAAGGCTCTGTGTTCAATCCCCAGTAGAGAAAAGAAATCAGAATTTTGTAAGTCTTATTAAATCTAAAACTTTGATTTGATTTGATCTAAAAAAAGGATGCCTTATCATTTTACTCATAACTATTTTAGCAAGCCTGTCATCAAGGTGGTGTAGGCTTGCAATCCCGGCACTCTGGAGGTTGAGTCAGGAGGATTGTCATGAGTCTGAAGCCAGCCTGGTCTACATAGTGAGTTCAGAGCCAGCTTGGACTACGTAGTAAGACCCTTACTCAAAAAAAATCAGAAAAAAAGAAAATAAAAAAACATTTTAGCATATAGCATATATCTCTAACTGATAAAGGGTCTTGTTTACATTACTACTCTGCTATTGTAATGGTTAACAGGATCAATTTTAATTTTGAGTAATTCTTTAATGCCATCAAAATATATAGTCTGTATTCCATTTATTTATTTAGAGACATGGTCTCACTATGCAGGTCAGGCTGGCCTTGATTTTACTATATAGCCTGGGCTGCCCTTGAATTCATGGGCATCTTCCTGCCTCATCTTCCTAAGTGCTGGGATTACTCATGCCTGGCCCAAAGAACAGCTTTTAACAAAGATCAATACATTCCTTTTAATATTTTGGTGAAAGTAGTTTAATGGTCATTTATTTGAGATGGTTATCTACTTACTCAAGCTGTCTCTTAATAATACTGTGGAACATTTATCCCAGTCTCATAGTAATGTGGATAGATTTATCTCTCCAAGAATTTAAATAATTCTTTTGTCATTTTGAATCTATTAGTGATCCACAAGTAATATGACTCATGTGTGGAAATCTTTAATGAATTCGTATTTATTACATTTTTATTATTTCTAAGGATTCCAGAATCCTGCCTAATTTGTTTTTACTTTATAGCAAATGAAAATCTCAAGAGTACATGCATAATTTCCTTTGAATATATGCATTCCATGTGTAACTAATAATTGGTTGTATTACACTGTAGTAGGACCTAAAGAGGCTCTAAAGGAAATAAAAAATATAGTTCTTGCCCTTTATGACTGGGGCCAGGGGTGTCCTTTGGTAAAGTACCCAGAAAACCATTCCAAGAAAATTTAGGTCTGCATTTATGCAGGAAACAGATACTAAGTATCAGCTATGTTTCCAACCCTTGTTTTAGGAACTGGAAAATAATCATTGAACCAAAGACAGAAATGCTAGACTTCATGGAGCATAGTCTAGTGAGAGAAACATAAATCAAAAAAACCAAGGTTAGTAAGATGTATAACACGTTACATAATGACAAGTGATGTGAAGATAAACAGCAGGGAAAGAAAATAAGGAGTGTTAGGCCATTACAGCTTCAAGTAGAGTGGTCAGCAGAGAGTTATTAGAGTGAGATGTTTGAAGAGCTACAGAAGATGAGAGACATATTTGTTATGGGACATATCTGTGGAAAGAGGATTCCAAAGCAAACAAGTCTATAAACCTGTAGATGGGAGCATGCCTAGCATGTTTGAAGAGCAGCAAGGGAACAAAGTAGAGCCCAGGAAAAATAAGGGAGGGAGACTATTGTAATAATCCTACTAAGAGATTATGGTAGCCTCCAGTATTGTGGTAACAGTGGAGGTGGTGAGAAATCAGAACTTGATGACAGTTGTATATTGTTTTGTACATTGTCAGTGAGTATGTCTAGGGCAGTGATGGCAAACGTTTTTAGAACTTTCAGTGTTATAAACAGCCCGCTATGCACCTGAGCAGTAGGTTTACCACTGGTCCAGCAGTTTCCCTAAAGAAGAGATGGAGACATCAGTGTACTTTATCCACAGGGTAGATTATGGGTTCTCTGACTTCTGCCATGGCAAAAGTCAAGACAAGTTAATAAGAGGTGTAAAGAGGTTTATTAAAAAGAAATACACACTCAAGATGGGGGGCTGTGTAATGTAAACTTTCAATTGAAACATGATGATCCAGAATTTGGGTTTTTATGTGGCCTTGGGAGTACCCTCAAAATAGGTGGCACAGAATATGTAGTCTTACTTTCACACCACCATCCTTTTCGTTGGCTAGGTTTTAATGTAAACCATTTACATGTGTTTTAAATTTACAGATATGCTGCCTACTTAATAATGCTGCTTCCTTGAAATTGGAGATTTGTGGGATGAAAAGCACAGGCCCATGTCATAGTTGCTAAACAAGGACCCTCAATTTATAGACTTCTTGTATCTTTAAAACCATTTAGGGGGGAGTGAGTTTTCTGCAGGGAAAAAAGGCGTTGTACACTTGGGTAATTTTTATGTACCAAAATTCAACTTTAAAATTACAAGTTTTTGTCTCCTTTCTATTTATTTTTATTTTTTTCTATTCTACTTCAAATATAAGCCACGAAAGTCAGAGAAGTTAGAATTTTTGTATATGTTTATTCCATTTATGAGGAGTTAGAACAACTGTAAGGAGCAGGATTTAGGGGAAAAAACACCTAGAACTGTGTTTTGCATATATTAATGCCTATTAGTAATTGGAAATATCAATCAGACAGCTAGATGCAGCATTTTGTAGAATTTGGTAGAAAGTTTGGCAGAAGAAATCATTATAAGCAAGCGTGGTATATTGTTAAACAATGCTAGAAAGGAGGAGAAAGAAAAAATTAAGAACAAAAGTCTTTAGGGAGGAAGATGTTTTAAGTTGGACCTTTTAATTAGTGAAAGGAAAGCCAAAGAGATTCTAATCAGGAAATTTTCCTAGAATCTTAGAATATCCTGAAATAAATCTGAATGCTTTTTTAAAAAACCTTTTCCATTTTTTCTCTCTTGAAACTCTCACAGTATATCATAGAATCTTGCCCAACAGTAGTTGCACATGAAAGAGTATCTCATTACCTAATTCAAGAAGACTTTGAACTTTTGACAGTGTTTCATTACCTAGTTCTGGCTGATCTTAAACTTTCATTCTTCCTAAATCAACATCTCTTTCTGGGATTACAACCGTATACCATCACTGATGGCTTTTCAGTTTATTAACCAGTATTTGGTTGTGGAAACTTAGGTGTTTTTTTAAGTGTCTCAGTCTCTCTGTCTCTGCCTATCTGTGTCTGCCTGTCTGCATGCCTGCCTGTCTGTCGGTCTATATCTCTTTCTCTAAATTCTTCCTGAAACCATTTTCTTGCCATTTATTATTGTGCATTTCAAGTACATCCTGAAACTCCCTTCTGTATGTGAAAATGTTCTTCCTTCTCAAAATACCAGCACTGTTGCTTATGAGCAAAGCAATTTAGAACTGATTGTGTTTTGCTTCTAAGAGCATTGAGCATTCTACAAGTCTTAGAATCTTCATTTGACAGATTGGGCCAAACAGAAAAACAAACCCAAAAAATTATTACCTCATTTCTAAAACAGATTTTTCTTATCTCTTGAAAACTGACTTTACATTTATGTGTCATTTTTAATTGTTGTGGTTACTACTTAAAATAATTTTAACATGTCATGTTAAACCTTAAAGCCACTGGCACATGGAATTTCAGCTAATAGGGTAGCAGAGGCAGAATATCCTTGAGCCCAGGAGTTCAAGACCAGCATGGCTACATAACCAAGACTCTTTAAAAGTGAGGAAGAGAAGGAAGGGAAGAAGAGATGCAGGGTACATTTTTTAGTAATTTAAAGAACTTTTAAAAAATGAAACAAGTATTCTTTGCTTCATAATTTCTTTGCTTAATTTTTGCAAAATATGCTTTAATCAATTTTGGATTTTTGTAAGTTACCTGAAAAGTATGTGACATGTATTTCTTTTGTGAATTATGAACATAGGAAATTCTGTTGATTGCAGTGTTGCTTTCTCTAGGGAACAAAGAAGGAAGAGATTGAAGGTGAAGAGGAAGTGTCTGGTTTAATTCAACCTGCAGAAGTGTTTGCTCCCAAAAGCCTGGTGTTGGTATCCAGATTAGATTATCCAGAAGTATTTAGGGTAAAGAACGCATAGTGATCATTATTAAATTATTGTGTGACTCTGTTTTGAATGAACAATTATAGGTCCTTTGCATTAAAAATATCATTAAATTGGTTTAACAACTGATTGATAAAATTCTCATGAGCAGAAGAAATAAATTCATGTTGGTGAAAGGAATATCTGAATCAGTTAACGTGACTCTTTGCACCTCTAAAGATGTAGTGTTTATCCTTAGATCAGTCCCACATTAATTAAATACAAAAGTTATAAATCCTAAAGAAATAATTTGATTACCTATAGCAAATTTAAAATGTATTAGTAATTACAACCTTATACATGTTTATTCAATTTATGAGTTGGTGGATCAAAGCAAGTAGGATTACTTGAGATTTCAGACAATCCTGATCATACTGTTGCCACATATTGTTAAAATATTGTTTACTTTGTATTTTTTTTTTATATATACTGGAAATTTTCAAATTTAAGAAAAAAATTACTAGTAATTTATGAAAAACCTTTCCAGGCAGTGAGATAATATAGCCTAGGAAATAAAAGTGTCACGATTTTAGTGACAGTGGATAACTGTTTTAACAGTTACCAATTTTCAAAGTCACGAATTTCAAAGAACTGAAAGAACAATAAAGATTGAATTTTATCTTGTTTACCATGTGCCTTCTGCTTTTAATCTTATTATCATCTCTGTTTTACTACCTTGTGTTATTCACGTTAGATTTTCCATTGAGTAAATTATAAGAATCATAAAATAAGATCAAACATCTAATTTTTATAATCTTGAAATTTAGAGTTTTGCAGAGTAAGTTGAAATAATAAGGCAAAACGGGAAAGCAAAAATAGTTTAGATCTGCATGTTGATTAGAGTAGTTATCTGGGCACAGACAACTGTTTAACAAATTAGGGGCTTTCTGTTTTCTAAAAAGCATCTCAGAAACTCATTAGGAAGTCCTGGTCCTCAAAGAAAATTTAATAAATTTAATATTTGCTGCTTAACATTTGTTCCATGTTCACTGTAGAATATGTTGAAAGAGAAATTTTCCAGGAGCAGATATCATGCCAATTTATTTTTAGTGCTTTTTCCATAAAATAACTACATGTATCTTCTCTTTGCAGGCTTGCCTAGGTCTGATCTATACTGTGTATGTGGACAGTCTGAATGTCTCCTTGGAAAGCCTCATTGCAAACCTTTGTGCCTGCCTTGTCCCAGCAGCTGGAGGGTCTCAGGTAAACACAATAGAGATTTAGGTGGAGAATGACCACTCTTTCTCTACAGTAAATTGATGAGAAAGGAGAGAACAGAATTCTTTTTGTTTTGTTTTAAAGAGTTAGCCATTGTTCCTGTAGTTTATCTTCTAGACACCTAAGATTCCATTCTTTTCTTGGGTTGTAAAGTTAATTTTAACACAGGATTCACCTTTCATATAGCATAATTAGAAGTCACATTTTGTGTAACTTGAACTCTGTATTTTGTGAACGTTTACTTTTTCAGACTGAACTTTTAAATGGGCTCTTCCTGCTTTGCTTACAGCTGTATATAGTTATACCTCATTTTTATTAACTTAAAATAAAAGAATTGACGAAAATTACAAGACAACAGTAAGAAAACTCAACAGTTTTTTTGAAACATTGTGTTCATTTCTCAATAGATTCCTTTATTTTGTAGATGTAAAGATTTTTACATTTGCCTTTGAAATAGAAAACTAAGAATCTTAGCTGCTATCATGTGTTTTTGATTTCTAGAGCAATCATTCTTTAAAAGAAATGAACGTGGGCTTACAGGGTAATTGATTGGTAGGGTGTGTAGTTAGCACTCACAAAGCTGTAAGTCTAATCCCCAGCATCAAAAACAAACCCGGCACTTTTCCTTTAAATCATAAAAATAGATGATTATTTATTTTCCTTATTTTTATCTAATATTGAAGAAAAGGAAAGCTCCCTAAAGGTCACATTATCTTCAGTCTGACAGATATGTTACATACAATAAAATGGACATACATTTTCATTGCCCTTTATATTTTTAACTGTCCTCTTGCTTTTTTAGTTTTTTCTCTTTTTTAAAATTATGTATCCCCTTCAAATAGTCTTTCTCTTAAATTTTTACCTCCTTTTCCCCCTGTTATCAGGTTTCTCATCTTTGCTACTTGGCAAAATATTAAATGAGGATATATTCAAAATTGGGTCTAAACTTTAAAGAAGCAGAATTGTCATATAAACCTTTACTAGAGCTACTGAATTTAACTCTTTATTATTTTTTAGTCAAATTGTGAATGATTTTTTTTTGTTTCATCTCTAAATTTTCAACCATTTTTGGTTGTATACAAAGTTACTTGAATGTTTTGGGTTATATATTATTGCCCTTTACCTCTGTTAATTGGCTCTCATGTGGTCATTTGCTCTAAAATTCAACTTCAAAGGGAGTTTTATCTTAATGTCTGAAATCACTTCCTACGTGTACATTTCTCCTATTCTTCAGAAGCTGTTTTCCTTGGGTGCAGGAGACAGACAGCTGATTCAGACTCCTTTGCATGATAGTCTTCCTGTCACAGGCACTAGTGTGGCTCTTCTGTTCCAGCAGTTGGGTATGTCTTTTCTCCCATTTTCAATGCCTTCTTATTAAAATCTATTAAAAATTAAAAATTTATTAGTTGGTATAAATCAGAAAATATAAAATCATTTTATCTCTCCCAACTTGGGGAGTATAGGGAGCAGGTAAGAATGGAGTTTGCTGCCCAAGTTCCAGTTGTTGAGTAGAAGGGCATCTGAAGGACAAATTTTTGTGTCTCCTCATTGGGAGTATGACAGTAAACTGTGCAGATTTGGGTATCTGGTGGTAACTGAGAATAAAGAAATGTATGAGTAGGGAGACACTTGCTATGGCCAGAAAAGTTTAATGTGGTAGTAAAAAAAAGCATACAACCTGGACGTGATAGACTCTTTCCATTTATCCCAGCACTTGTAATCCCAGCACTTGGGAGGCTGAGGCAGGAGGATTCCCTATGTGTTCAAGGTCAGCCTGGGCTACATAGTGAGACCTTGTCTCAAAAAACAAACAAAAAAACTAAAAAGGACCACAATTTGAAGCTGATCCTTCAGGAAAGAGAAGTATATTTCAGAGGGCTCTTTGTATATTGGCAAAGAGTCTGAGAAATTAGAACTATTATTTTTTTAATAAGAGTATGAAATGGTATGGCACATTGCAATACAGTTTAACAGTTTTGTTTTAAGTTAAGCAAACCATGTAACCCAGCCATTCTACTCATAGGTATTTACCGAAGGAAAATAATAGATGTGTTTTTTACACGAATGTCCATATTCATTTCACTTATATAATAAAAAGTTGGAAACATGCTCAGTGTTTATCAGTGATAATGGATAACTGATAATGGAAATGAATTTAAAAATCTGGTTTTTCTGTACAATGGAATAAATGATGCAAAGGAAATGAATTGCATTGATACATACAATAAAATGGAAACAATTATGTTAAAGAAAAAACACCAGACAAAAAAGAATGTATACTCTGTGATTTAATTTTACTAAATTCTAAAAATGCTGTCTGATGGGACTTACAAATGAAGCAAGGCCCCTTCCCAACACTGGTGCCTCACAGGCCCTGTGAGAGAGGAGAGAAACTCCACCCATCTCTGCTTCAGACACCTGTACCTCATGTGCCCCTGTAGTGAGAAGGAAGTTTTCACCACACCTCCACTGTCAACACCAGGACCTTATAGACTCAGTGGAAGAGGAGAAAGGTCCCATTCAGCCCCTACCCCTGACACCAGCACCTTGTGTACCTTGCAGGTGAGAAGAGAGTGTGCCCTCCCTCCCCTAGTCATAGGCAGTATACCTATGTACCCTGTACCCTGCAATATAGGGTATCAGAGGGGACAGGCAAAGATTGATCTCATACAGGAAGAGACCAACACTTAGCAGTAGAGTTTTGTTCCAGGACTAAAATGTTACCCTGCCACAGAAGCTGGGTGAGAGATAGCTGTGGCAGACAGGTTTGGAGAGGGTAAAAGCTAGACAGAGATCTGCTGAGATCCTCTCAGAAGCTCTTCTCAGGCCAGGAAGATCATAGGGCAGGTATTCTATGATGGAATGCCATGTGTGGTTACTGTAGTCTTTAAAAAGGGTGTATATATCTGAAGGAGTTGGAGTTTGGCCTAACTGGTGTGCTTAAACTTTTGAAGATGCCTATCTGCAACAGAAACTAGCTATCTAATTTACTATAGGTCACTATAATAAATAGACGGTAGCGTAAGTGTATACACTAAAAGAATTGACCTTTATGCTCTTGTTAAGGATGGTTTCATGAGTGTTTCTTAGAATTTGTTAGTATCTAGTTCATATTTGATATCATTGTAGTCATGGACTTAACTGCTATTGCCAAGATGGCATAACTGGTGCTGTTAGTTTTATCTATATGCCAATATTTGGATTGTCTGAAAGTGATAAACAGTATTGAAGTTTATTCTTTAAGATTGGGCACTGGACTGAAAAAGCTGCAAACCCCAGCACAAAAAAAAAAAAAAAAAAAAAAAAACCTAACAAAAAATAGAAATACAAGAAAACAGAAGTGCCTCCAAAAACTCCTGACTTCCCCAATGCTGATCCAGGAGGTATTAAGGGGGTGGAAATCATAAGCTATAAAGTAGCAATGTCTAACAGAATATCAATGGAGGTAACAGTTCAATAAGGTCCTCAGCAGGCTCAGAGAAAATAGTAACTAAACAAAGAACGACCCATATGAAACAAATGAGCAATAAATCTAGAGAAGACTCTAGTGGAGTTAAAGAGATAACAGAAAATGAACAATGCCTTCTATAATACCTCATTTTCCATGAAAAATTTGTTTATGCTATCATACATATTAAAATCCAATGAGACACAGCATGATAGAACCAATGAAAATAGAAGAATAAAAGCATGGTAGGACTTCAAAGCAAGATGATATTAAATCAGCAATGGCTGCTATAATGTCTTGTTTTCTTCAAAGTAGCTATTCATACCATCACGCATAATAAAATTAAACAAAACAGAATAAAACCATTCCAACCAATGAATGAAAACATTATAAGGCTTCAAAGCAATATAATAGGGAACCATAATTACTATAAAATCTTATGTACTCTTATTATTTCTTACACAAGGGAGACTATACAGTATTTATACATGTGAATTTGATTTATTTCACTTATAAGTATGGCCTCAAGTTACCTCCATTTATTTATACACATCTCAATGTGATCATTCTTTGTAGCTGAATAGTACTTCCATACATAGCTGGATCGAATGGGACTTTCAATCCCAGCTTTTTGAGGAATCTCCAGACTGATCTCCACAGTGGTTGCACCAGTCTACATTCCCACCAACAGTGCAGGAGAGTTACTTTTTCCTCACAGCCTGTCCAGCACTTGTTGTTGGTAGTTTTCTTGATCCTGGCCATTCTTTCTGGAGTGGGATGGAATCTCAGTGTTGTTTTAAATTTGCATTTCTCTAATGACCAATGATGAACATTTTTTCATGTATTTTATTTGCCATTTGTATTTCTTCATCTGAGAACTATATATTCATCTCAGATGCCCATTTTTGGATTGGGTCTTTGAATTTTGGACCCAATCTGATTTTTTTTAATTCTTTATATGTTTTAGACAATAGTCCTTTGTCTGAGGGATAGTTCTCTTAAGATTTTTTCCCAGGTTGTGGGTTTTCTTTTCACTATGCTGGAGATTTCTTTGTACATGCAGAAACTTTTTAATAAGGCATGATCCCAGTTATTGATTCTGGGAAGCATTTTGATTATGAACACATTATGAAGTGTTCATATCTTTGATCGATTTAGATTTTAGTTTAGTACATGGTGATAGGCATGGGTTTAGTTTTAGTTTTCGGCATATGGAGAGCCAGTTTTTCCAGCACCATTTATTAAAGAGACTGTTGTTCTTCCAGGGAACATGTTTGGCCCCTTTATCAAAGATAAGGTGGTTGAGTCTGTTGGTCGTTTGCGGATGTATCTTCTAATTAAGAATAGGTCCATTTTTTAAAAAATAATAAATAGAAATCCGAGAGGTTAAAAGTACATATGGAAATCTACACAGTAAAAGTGACCAACAGGAGTATGCGTGTCAGACCTAGAAAACTGGGCTGTGATTAGTGATCAGTTAATGAGAGACACCTTAGAAACAATAGAACATGAAAAATAGACCTAACAGCTGTTAGATGACTCAAAGACTAATGTAAGTATAATTCAAAGCAATGAAAACTCAGAACATAGCACATAAACAGGACATAAAAAACCTGTTTCCAAAAATAATCATAGAAAACATTCCAAACATGGAAAGAGAATTTAATATACAGATAAGTGAGGCATATCGAACCAGAATACCTTCATCATAAAAAAGCACTCTGCCATACAATAATTAAAGTAAGAAACGTTCAATCCAAGAACAGAATCTTGAAACTTTATGTAGAGAAAAGCAACAAGTCACCTATAAAGGAAAACCTCTCAGAATTACAATAGACTTCATGAAAGGAAATTATGGAGATTAGAGCAGAAATAAATAGGGACTTACAAAACAATGCAAAGAAAAAGTGAGTTGAAGAGCTGGTTCTTTAAAAGAATAAACAAAATAGATATTTAACTAATGTTACCAAAAAACGAAAAGAAAAAACACCAGGCACTACAAGTGGAAGTGAAAAAGATGAAATCACAACAAATACTCTTGGAAATCAGAAAATTATTAGCAACCACTTCACAAATCTGTATGTCAAAAATTGAAGAACTCTGCAGAAACAGAGATTCCTAGAATACATTAATTATCAAAACTGAACCAAGAAGACTTAAAAATCTTGAATAATCCAATAATAGGCGATGAAATTGAAGCAATAATCTGCCAGCTAAGAAATGTTCAGGACCTGATGTGCTCATTGCTGAATTAAACAAGATCTTAAGGGAAAATCTAACACCATTACTTTGCAAAGTCTTTAATGAAATCAAGGGGGAAGGAGTACTCCCAACATCAGTCCTGGAAGCTAGCATTATCCTAATACCAAAGCCAAACATAGATCCAACCAAAAAAAAGAGAACTCTAGGTTGTTCTTTCTAATCAATATAAATGCAAAAATCCTCAACAAGATACTGGCAAACAGAATACAACAACTCATCAAAAAACTTACATATCATTACCAAGTAAACTTTATCCCAGGGATGCAAGGATGGTCAAACATACACAAATCAACAAAATAACGTATCACTAAAAGATTCTTAGACTTAACAAACTCAGGCCAAGGGTTTAGCTCAGCAACATAAGCGCCTGCCTGGGAAGCACAGGGTTGTGAGTTTAAGCCCTGGTACCAAAACAAATAGGTGTGTGTGTGTGTGTGTGTGTGTGTGTGTATGTATATGTATATATATAATCAACAGTGTCCTAAGATGATAAATACTCAAAAATCAATAGCATTCTTGTGAATTAATAATGAAATTACTGAGAAAGAAATTAAGAAAATGGTAGCATTCATGGTAGCATCCAAAAATTAGAATCTTAGGAATTAACCTAACTAAGAAAGTAAAAGACCT